GGAAAGAGTAAATCAAATAAATAAAGGCTTGTGTGCATAATTTGAATACTGTAATTACCTTCAAAAGAACAGCATGGACCTATCACAGAAAAGGGTTGCTTGTTATTAATACTGATTTCTGGGGCTTGGAAATAGTATGTGGATAGAAATTAAATGAGCATTTGAATTATATTAAGGAGTGTAATTTACTTCAAATGCCCATCATACTGTTTTTGTAAACAGATAAGGGTTTTATTGCCTGTTCCCAGACAACAAATTGACCCTTGTGCGTCCTTTTCTGTTCTCTGACAGAAGAATAAACTAGAGTCCCAACCTATGAACATGCCATATTTATGTTCGTAAGACAGTACCTAGGTTTTGGTAGTGCAATTTCATCCATAGATCCAAAACCACTAGTAAGCTGAACAGGACTCCTACAGAGAATCAGAGAACCCTAAAATGACTAGCCTAAGATCACACAGAAAACTACCAGCAGAGACGTGAACAGAATGGATCCAAAGTGACTGAGACATGCTTTAAATTACTGTATATTTTCTGAAAGATGAGAAAATTGAGCCTAAAAGGTAAATTCTCTAGAGAAAAGCTATTTCAGTAAACTAGGAAAAGAAAATTAAAGTTGTCAAATATAAATACAAAATACTATAATTAGTGTGACAGTATAATTAGATCACTGGGTGGAAAGAGATTCTTAATTCACAGCTTGTTTAAATACATGTCACAACAATAGGTTCCTGTAAGCTACTAATGTGCAATTAAAGTTCCTGTTATTTACCAGGAAAAACTAATTGGTGAAAAGAAGAAATAATAATAATTTTTGCAGTTAGGCATTATTTCATTGGAAATAACAAGCCCTGTTGCCTTTTTATAATTCCAACTTTGCCAGTATGCAGCTGTCTGAGAAAATATTTCATGACAGAGATCCAGAGACTACAGTCACAAATGCTTGTGTCATAATATTAACACAAAGCTAAACAAAACAGCATGGGTTTTACGTATTTTTTAGAATTATGTCTAAACTTTTTTGTAGCAATGCACAGTAACTGCAAGCCTCAGTATGACTGCTATTGTTTTCCAAATACACAAAACTCATGCAAATTCCTAATTAGGATAAACATTTTAATAGTTATTTTTCCCTCTCTCACACAAAAAAAAAAACCCTAAAACCAAAAACGAAGCCACAAACAAACTACATATTGTTTATACATAGAAACCAAAACCAAAAAAAGTGAAAACCCAATTCTAGTCAGAGGAAAAAAAGCAACATTATAATGCCTGGGCTGATGCTGTATACTGAATCTTAGCCTGTAAAGCATTTTCAAGATGAGATTATGCACTAAGAGAAGCCGTAACAGAAGCACTGAGTAAACCAGTAATGTCACGAACAGGTGTGGCTATAACAAAACTAATAAAGTGAGATGAATTTAAATCTTTCAATTAGATAGCAAGGAATGAAAACGCAAAATGGCTATGGTTATTTTTATTTCTGATTGTCCACTCTTGTTTTCCTCATTCTTTTTGCACAGCTACAAATCACATATATTAAACTCCAGACCACTACCTTAGTCTTAAGTTTCCTCAAAGTACACAGCAGCTCCTACACCCCATTCTCCACCCTTCCCCCCCCCATATTACTAGGGTATTTATCTGTCACCTGGAGAGAGGCTGCATTCATACACATAAAAAATAATTCCTGTAAGGGCTTTTCGTTTTGTTTTCACAGAGCCATTAATCATGCTTATATTCACTTCAGGGTAATTGGCCTGACGTTTGTGGGTCTTCATCTTGACACTGGAGGAAGAACACTGGCATTATCAGTCTACAGACAATCTTTTTTGTTAAGTGTTAAGTTGCTGTCATGGTCGAAGGCTTATGCCACAAAACCCCATTTATGTTGCTGTGGTTTATGAATTTTCAGGCTTTCAGCAGCTTGGTTCAAATCCTCTGCCAAAGACCCACACTCACTATCTCTCATGATCACTGAATGACAAAAAGCTCCTCTGTGGTTCGGACAGCTTTGCTCCAAGTAGGGGTGTAACGAACTGTTGAGTTGCCAAAGTCTTTTAAATAGCCTTACTACATGAATGTGCATCCAAGTCCTGGATGAGAGCTGACCACTGTGACAGGTGCGAGTCAGGGTTGTATCCCATCCTCTTCCAAAGAAAGAGGAAATATGGTACCCAGCTGGGTGAGGAAACAGCATCTCATCTGACTAGGACTACAGAGAGCTGTAGCAGAAGGAAGGGAGCACTGAGTTCATCCCACAAATACGCCTTTATAAACAGAATCATTACTATTGTCAGCTTTCTACCCTGAATTTCTCTCTTCTCCTTTGTATGTCTGTATTTCTCCTACCAGTGCTAGCTCCCCTGTGTTCCCATCTTCCTCCTTGCTTTTTGGCTCTGGTATTCAGGGGCTCTTTTCCTGTTTGTATTTTCTCTCTTCCTCCTTTTTTCTTCCCCACTTCCATGCTTCTCGCCTGCTTGGTTTTGCTTCCCAAGACCTTTGATTCTGCTCACTTGCAGCAGTGTAAATTTTGGGTACTTCCCCTAAAATCACTTGGTTCTACTAAGCGCAGTGGGCACTAAAATCACAGTCCCAATGTAACTGAGAGAAGTGATTTAGGCCGTATGGTATGGAGTACATTTAATTTTTCTCCCTGTTTGTGTCCTCACTCAGCCCATTTCATGTAGGAATTTTGCAAACCTGAGGAAGAGCTACCAAGAGAAAAGCCGTCTATCGTGACCTTCAACAACAAGGAAGAGCGAGAAGACTGATGTTACAGTCCGGTATAAGAAAGTCCGGTTTGCTCCCCATTGCTCCAGGGTATTCCAGTTTGGCTCCAAGGCTGTGTTTTATCAGCCCTGGTCAAAGGCCACTCTTTCTGTAGCAGCCTGCACAACTCAAAGCTATCCTTCCTCCAGCCTTGCACCCAGAGTCATCTCCCATATCCTCCCCTTTTCCCTCTGCTACTTTCACATTTTGTAGTCGCCTTCTTAAAAGGCACATGTAAATACTATGCTGCACTTCACTACATTTAGTTAACTGTAAAATAATAATAATAAAAAATCCTAAAAGATGTGAAGGTATTTTTAAGAGAATTTAAATATAGGACTCTTTTCATCTAGCTATCACCGCAGTAATATAAATGAAGCAAATTAATTTTAATGCTCCAAGGTACTGATTCTGTGTCACTGTCACTGACAGGATCCAACTAGACTTTATGAGATGGCATTTGACTTTATGGAAGTGAGCACTATGCACGCATTTACAATTTTACAGGGACTTTAAGCTGTCATGCTGAAAAATGTTTATAAAACATTAATCAAAAAATGCCTCTTTAATACAATGCATTGTCTGAAAGATGTTAGAAGGCACATATTGTAAATGGATTCTTTTTCTGACTGAAGTAATTTCTACCAAAAGCCTTTCCCCACTGCTATACA